ATGTAAATATAAAGTATTTAAATATAAAGGACCTTTTCTGAGGTACAGAAAACTACAATTCATACAATTTAGATGAAATGAACTAGTAAAAACATCATGAGGATTATTCTACATTAAATTTCTTCCAAAAGATCCCTTTCACCTAAATCTTACACACTGGACCTACATGTATTGACAGGACAGTTAAATTGGGAGAGAGAATGGGGAGGGCACGAAGCAAAGGGCCGAGTCAGATTGTGGTTATTCTTCTGTAATTAATCTGATTAGTTAAACATGATGATATGTTACCATTTTGCCATGTATGCTAGTGTTTGTGGCTTCTCTCAAACACTTTTGCTCTTGTGTATATGGAATTTAAACAACTAAAACAAAGACACAATAAAAGACACAACAAAGCAGTAGCTCAGTCCACAGAGACACATCCTGGGCACTGCCGAGTTGCCCTTGAGCAAGGCACCAAACCCCCTAATTGCTGCCCACTGTTCTGTGTGGTCACTGTGTGTATTGTGTTCTGTGTGTGCTGTGTTCACACGGATGGGTTAGAGGTCAAATTTCCCCATGTTGCATGTACTGTGTGTGCATGATTGTGGGACAATAAAAAGGAACCTTCATCTTAAACACTCTTCAACACATTTGGAAATGCTGTACTCACAGTTACTGCTCTGGATCGTCACTGTTCAGGGGAGGGGTTTGAGAAAACAGATGATTCCTGCGACAGCCTGCAGATATTTAAAGGTAAACAGTAAGTAAACAGTTTAGTTGAAGACAGCGACATGAACAGTGCTGCTCGGTTAACAGGTTGGTATTGAACATTACGCAGACACAGAAACAACTGAAAGTGACTCTTTCCATACTTACTGTCCTTGAAAACGTTGTATTGTATTTTTAACATAATGCTTGAGTTGTGTTTAAATTTATGTCCTGAAAACTTCAATTTAAGGATACAGGAAGCATGGAACCTGAAGTTATCATCAACCAGACCGGTGACGGCAAGTTTGTGCCTCTGTGCTATGAATCAGGAACTTCCTCTTGCATAATGGCAATAACCCCTTCGACAATACGTACATTTTTATACATGTTTATTGGCAGCACAGTGTCTGTTCTCACAATCAGTGGGAACCTTCTGGTAATCACCTCCATCATTTACTTCAGACAGCTCCACACTCCAACAAACTACCTGATCCTCTCTCTGGCTGTGGCCGACCTGCTCGTCGGGGCTTTAGTTCTGCAGTTCAACATGGCTCTGTCTGTGAAGTCCTGTCTTTATTTTGGGGATCTATTTTGTAAAATGCGACGCAGCTTTGACATTTCACTGGTGATGACGTCGATTTTCAACTTGTGCTGCATTTCCATAGACAGATACTACGCAGTGTGTCAGCCTCTGTCATACAGAACTAAGATGAATGGAAGAGTTGTTGTGATCATGATCCTGGTGAGCTGGACTGTCTCTGCTCTGTCTGGATTTGGAATCACATTTGTGGGACTTAAACACACAGTCTGTGAAGGTCGCTGTTTCATATTCCATATTCCAGAATCAAATATATTTGGCTCTGTTGTCTCGTTTTACCTCCCAGTGATCATAATGCTGTGTATCTACCTGAAGATTTTCATTGTGGCACAGAGACAAGCGCGCAGCATCCACAACACAACGTGTCAGAGCACGAAGTCCGGAGCAGTCGTCAGTAAGATGGAGAGGAAGGCCACTAAAACTCTGGCGACGGTTATGGGAGTTTTCCTTTTTTGCTGGTTGCCCTTCTTTCTTTATTTGACCTTCAAACCTGTGAGCAACTTTTCAATCCCTCCACCTCTGAATGAAACTCTCGCCTGGCTCGGATGGTCCAATTCCATGCTCAATCCATTTGTCTATGCTTTTTTTTACAGATGGTTCCGAGCTGCCTTCAGAATCATCATTTCTGGAAAAATATTTAGAGGCAATTTTACAAACTCAAAACTGTTTTGACTGAGAGGTTATTATGTTTTTGCACAATATTATACAGGTGTTTTACCTTTACAGTTGATATTCGTCAAAATGTTTTATAATTTGAAAGACTTACTCAAAGGGGTTTGATGAAAAACATTTCATAAAACTTTTAAAGGTCCAGTGTGTAAGATTTAGGTGAAAGGGATCTATTGGCAGAAATGTGTAGAATGTAGAATAATCCTCATGATGTTTTCCGTGGTTCGTTTTATCTAAATTGCATAAATTGTAGTTTTCTTTACCCCAGGAAAGGCCCTTTATATTCAAATACTTTATATTTACATCAAGGGGGCCTCTCTACGGAGACCGGCATGTTTTTAGTGAGTTTTTATGACAACTGAAGCTACCACAGGTTCTTTTTCATGTTTGGAAGGAGAGGGTGAGGGGAGGGGTGTTCAGCCACAACATGCAACTTTAACACTAGATATCACACAATTCTACACACTGTACCTTTAAGTGACTTAATGTATTGGATTAACAAAAATTTGCCTTTTCAATAAATGTAATATTCTGATTAATTATTGTCTCACTATTGTACAAGACTATCAAAGAACAATATTTGTATATTATAATAATCTCAATGCAAGGCGTGATTTTTTTTAGTGTGCAACGCAAACAACTGCTGCATATCAAACTGACCTCCTGGATACAAAAATCGAAACACAAGCATTTTTCCTCTGTGTGATATCAAAGTTGAAAAGTGTTTTCAGGGAAAACAAAACAAGAATGATGATAAATAAATTCATATGTAATAAGAGAAATGACGATGAATTACTGGCGTATTACTTAGATCAGATTGTAGTTAAATTAGTCCTGAAAGGTAAAACGTGTTCTCATTATCACCATGACACCTGACTCATATTTAACAGTAATCAAGAGGAGGCACTTTTCACAATTCAGCAGAACACAATCTTTTCTTTACCATGTCTTCATTGCATCACAACAGACATTCATCATGATTAACACAATGTTAATCAGTACTTTGCAATTTAAGTAAGTTTTCTCTGTTAATAATTTGATCTTGCATGTACAGGAAACTGTCTGTTTGGGCTGAATACATAGGCTACATGAGGTTGAGCCCTAATGTTTAGAATGGGTTAGACATGTATAAAGTCTGCCAATATGGATGGACTAATAATTCAGTAAACACAATGGTTTGTCTGGTATCTTATGAAAAAAACCCACAATGCAATGGGCTTTTGTCTTTTTTTTATTAAAAAATGTGAAAAAATCTACTGTACATTCAAAACTAAAAACATTAAACACATATTTAACAACAAAAGTAAATAAAGTTATACACTGCTTATGTACATCAGGGCCCTACGTGTAAGGCAGGTCCGTGAGCCGTTTCAAATACAACAAAGATGGCAGAGCCTCCAGAGTTATGCTTGTACATTCAGATCCGTCAGTTTAAACATTACCAGCTTGAACACTAATAGTCTCGATGAATTGATTATTTTGGGCTACACTTAAAACACTACAATGAGTTATACATTTCAGTTTTAAAGAGATATTTTATTCTGAAATAAGGTGCAAATGTTTGTGAAACACCGATGGGCTACTTACGTTAGGTAAAGGGATTCTTTAATTGGATTGTGTAGACATTGGTTACGACAGTTAACATTCTGTTTGAAGGATTTATTGCAATCTCTGACCTTTAATTCAAATGCTATTCCATTGATAATAACCAGATACTTCTTTCCTGTAAAATGTATATATATTTATTCTGTATTTTATTTACTTTGAGCAATAAACATCAGACACAGCAAGACTAGACTTCACAAGTCAACAGCTACAACTTACAGTAAGTTGTAACACTTCTATTTCACAGTTTCATCAACAATATTACCTGAGAACAGCAACATTACAATGAATATTCCTTCAAACATTTTTAATTCTTTTCAAACCTCACTATTCTCTTCCTGATTTCACAACTTCTGTTTTTGACTTTAGAAAAAAAACAACGATATCTGAGATCGTCTGAATGATCAATCAAACAAACGTTACGTGTACAGCTTGTTTCATTGATTCATATATTACTAAATGACTCCGTTGCACCGCTGCTGTTTGTGTTTGCAGCTTGTGAAACATGATAGACATCTGAAAGACAAACACATTGTTGATAAGACAACACATAGAAATACACAGGAAAGCTGCTTAATGTGAAAAAACTTACTTCTTCTTCCAAGTAGTCTGCCTATAAAATTGCTTCCACTTAAGGAGGAAATGCCAGCACCTGTACTCTACAATAGAAAAAAATGTGTGTAAAGTCATTGGAGGAAAAATGTAACGATTTCTGTGGCGTATCACAACATTCGGGATGCATTGAAAACCAGAATACCTGAAAATATTCTAAGCATTTGTAAAAACAAACAAACAAAAAAAAAACACTTACCCTCGAAGAATTGGAGCCTGTGCTTGTTGGAGGTAATCGCCTTGCGAGGAGAGAACGAGTCTGCAGGCAAAATCAAAATGATGCCAATGTCAAAATGAAAAGTATTTAGTGATCAGTAATTAGTTATGCTAGTACTTGAAGGGATAGCTCACCCAAAAATTGGACTCAAAACAAGGTCATTTACACCGTTTGGGATAAAAGCCTAAATGTCTGTGATCCATGCATGAACGTGGCTCCAGTGGAGGATAACGGGACAATTAGGCTAAAACATGGTGTAAATGAGGCCAATTCAAGTCAAATTTGAATGCTGGGGCTTACAGACACTTGGATGACACCAAAGGAGCAAAATGGAGCTATTTCATGTTTTTTCTGTGCGTATGATTTTTTTCAGTGAAGTGTCTTATTGCAACAAACCCTGTTCAAAACATGTAGGGAAACCTATGCTGGCCTTAGAGTTATAGTAAACATGACAAAGAAGCCAGTTATTGGTCTGTCCTTTCTGGGCTAGCATAGAAATTTGGAGGTACAACATGGCTGATGTAGACGTAATGGGCTAATGCTAAAGTAAAAAAAACAAAACAATGACAATTTGTTCACCTGGGGAAAGAATAGAATTGAAGATAGAGTGGTATCGATCTAATCCAAGTTTTGACAACGAAGTGAATAATGTGTGTACACAGGAGGTGTCTTAGCATTTGTAACTACATTGTACACAGTGCCTGTGTTGTGATTTACTTGTTATACACTTGTTATACACACAAAAATGCAACCTACAGGCCTGTTCAAGGATTCTAATCTATCTATTTCCATTTTACATGTGTCACTGATTTTGTTTGGCATCTGAAAAATGCAAGTGTAGATACTCACACATTACCAAAGCTGTTTCTCTCCTGCTGCTAATGCTACCTCCTGTGTACACATTCTAGGAATAATTTTTGGCAATTCCAAAATTGACATACCTTCGAATCGAGTAGTACCCCAAACAATAAAATGAAGAAACCCTGAAAAAAATCAGACATTCACATTTCATAATCATCAGAATGAAAGAACATGACATTTTCCATTACACAAAAAGCAATGTCTTGAAATTCAATGGGTGCAAATACCTGTAGTGAATTGAAGAATGCAAAGGCAATATGGAGTCCTTTATTTGTTGATGATACCATGGTTCCCACACCCAAAGACCAGGTCAATCCAAATAAAGGAGTCAAAATGACCAAACATCTTGTTATGACCACCAGAGTGTGTTTTTCACCCGTTTGTGCAGCGTCTCCCACACCTCTTCTCAGCATTTTGAATAAGACAACAATTACAATTAAAAAATTTATGAAAACTATGGTCAAGGCTGGTATCACCATGGCCAGGAGGGCTTTTGTCTCCACCCAGTTCAGCCAACAAGCCTCGGTTTTCCTGATGTATCCTTTGCCCGGTGCTGTGGCAGCAACAGTTGTTACAGCTATAATCAGAGGACAGCCGTATCCTAAACAGAAACCAATGGCCAACATGGTTGACTTGGACATGTACGAGAAGACCATGACTGTCCTGTAAAAGAGCAAAAGGCCTGACACGAGCATCCAAAAAAATAGAGCAAGGTAAAAAAAGTGCATAAAAAATGTTGCAGTGCTACATGGTCCAAGAGGAAGCTCGTAGTCCTCCCCTGGGTTCTCAAGGGGATTGTTTGCTATAGAGGAACCAATGATGAAACAGATATCAGCGATCAACAGAGACAGGGCGGTATTTACAATGGAAACGTGACGCATGAAGGCAGTGCTATTCCTGGTAATGGCTTTCCAAATGTACCCTTCAATAATCAGACATATAACTAAGCTTGCCAGAGATATCCCAACTCCAACATAAGTGATTATATCCAAAGCCTCTCTCAGTGATGGAGGGATGTTTGTTGCCATTAGAATTGAGAAGGAGGTCAGGTGGTCACAGCTGCAGGTTACTGTGTTGTTTATGTCGGAAACAAACGTACATCCCTCATTATCCCAAGCACCAAAGTTATTGAAGAGTGTGAAGTTCCAGAAGACACACTGCGGGTTTATTTTCAAGGAGCTGTTCAGCTTGTTGAAGCTCAGAAGGACATTCTGAACCGTGGTATTTACTTTGACAAGCAACACAGCTGCATTGATGGCATCATCACTGGCAGTTTCATTGCTGGTCGCGTTGAAGAGGCTGAAATCAAAGGTGGAGTTTCGTGTCGGCATTACAATATTAAAGGTTGAGAGGAGGATGGTGGTAATAAAGACATTGCTCCTGCTGGTTTCTGTTATGTTTATGACGATGCTGGAGTTCAGGTCTGCCATGAAGGAGTCATCAAATGCGGTTCTGTTTAGTAGGATCCTTGGAGTCCTAATGGCAAACTCTCCGATCAAATCACTGGAGAGAGTCTCCAGTGAACCCAATAATTCCGAGCTGGCATTGCGGGTCTCATTTGCATTCAAAATTACCCAAGACTCTCTTGCTTCTTCACCAATGATGACATCAACAGTCTCTAGGATATTCTGTTGATCGGAAGACAGGTCTCTGTGAAAGTCCATCCTCATCAAAATGTCAAACGGTGCATTGGCCTAAAGGCTCAGTGTTTAGAATCTATTGGTGAAATTGCATGTTGCAGCTGAACACCCCTCACCTCACCCTCCCCTTCGAAACATGAAACAGAACCTGTGGTAGCTTCAGTTGTCATAAAAACTCAAAAGGTGTTAAGTGTGTTCAGTCTGGGCTACTGTAAATATAATATATATATATATATAATGTAAATATAAAGGGCTCATTTAAGGGTAGAAAAACAACAATTCGTACCAATTAGATGAAACACACTTGTGAAAACATCAGTAGGATTATTTTATATTCAATCTCTGCCAATAGATCCCTTTCACCTAAATCTTACACACTGAACCTTAAAATAATTTGTAAAGGATACAAAGTGTAAGGTTAAATTTACCTGCATGATGGTTTCATCTGCAACATTTGAAACACTTGCAACAGTGGTTAGGATGTCAATAATAGCTGATATGGTTGCAGTTGAATTTGCAACGTCAGTTTTTTGTGTCTGGACAACTTCACTTAGATTCCCTACAAATGCTGGTATTTCCTCCTCAACCAAATCCTGAAAGAAAGAAAAACCTTTTGACACAACATTTTTTCAACATGCAAATATGCCGGACAAATGCAAGGATAATTATTTCTGAAGCACAAGACATTGTTACAAACAACAGCTGTCCATCTTGTAGGCCACAAGAACATACAGTCCAATACCATATTGTCCAAGAAATTATTATGAAAAAGGGAGTAATAACAAACTTAGGGGAAACCCTGTCTTCCCACTTTCAGTCTCCTCTCTTCTAAAACAAATTCTACACACAGCGTCATTCATGTTAATGGGCTCTTCTCTCTCCAGCATGAACCCGAATTTTTTTCACTTTATTTTATTTCTCGATGTTGGAACTTGACTAAGTTTACCAAAAAAAACCTGCGATCTATAAAAATCGAAATGAGCTCCACAGCCCCTAAACAAAACATTCATCAGGACACAGGAAGCAGTTTGATAGACGAGTAGCTCACCTACCTGTGACTCAATCAGTAATTCTCTGATTTTTATTATAATGCAGGTGTCCTCTACAAGTTTCCACTCGCTCGTTTCCTGACATTCCGCCATCTTGTTCCCCTCTTGACCTTCATCACACCCAATGATGGCTGTGTCTCCTACTTGGCCGGTCCCATACTGAGCGTCATTGCATTTGAAATCTTAGAGAGTTCAATAAACTATAAGTTACAAAAACAGGAAAAACAGCAAACGAATTGTGTAGTTACACTTTAAAGCTGCTCTTACCGTCTTTGAAGATCCTCATTGTCGATGTCATTTCATAACTTGATGGTTCATCTACCTTGCATGTAAAAGTGATTCGATCTTCCTGTGATCCAGTGCAGTTTTCTAGTTTGTAGTCATGCTTGATGCAGTTGGCGTCTTCATCTGTAACAGGAGCTGAAAATTGTTGTTGAGGAGAGAAACTTTTAATAGCTTTCTCCAAATTCCCAAGCATGGTTGGAATGAGGAGTTTCCAACATCATGACTTACCTGAGCTCAACAGGTCTGTGCCTTGAAACCATTTGATTTTGTACTGAAGCTGCACACAACACGTGAGTGGTTGTATCTGTCCAGTTACACATTTTACATTAAGTTCACTCTGAAGACGTATAACAGGAGCTTGTTGGATGTTGCTTCCTGATACAAATCCTTTTTGTTGTAATTCCACGTCTCTTTTGATAAGATTACAACTGTAAGGTCCTGTGATCAAGAGAAGTAGATATCACTGAACGCATTAGTAAAACAATAAAAAAAAGTAGTAGCAAATACATTTAGTATAATTGCTGATATCATATAAACATCACATTGGCAGTGAAGTAATCCAGCAAAAGACACTGATTAAACTTTTTCATTATACTGTGTGACCTTATTTCACATTATTAGTATCATGACATAGAAACCAGGAAATAAGGTATGTAAGTATTGCTACTTTAACACATGCACTGATCCTCTGGAGGATTCACAGCGAGCGTGTAAAGTGTGTTGATGACGTTTGTAACATGTGACAGATGCAAAAATGAAAAGACAATATCGCAACAAAAAAATGTAAATGTCGATACTATAATATGTAAAAGACACCAACAAAGATGTCAAGAGAGATTTTGGTGATAAAAGCCAATGTTAGTGTTGATGTGCTGTAAACAAAAACATGTGATCTCCACAGCAAAAGTTCTACATCCTGCCTTGAAAGGCAAACTCAAGGAATTCAAGTCTGAAAATGTCTTATTTTATTAAGTTGTGAAGAGTTTCTTATTAATTAACAAATTAAGCCAGCTCTGACTTACCACTATCAGCAAGGATGACGTTGTTAATTTCAAGAATGGACTGATTGTTGGAATTCGTTATTTTAAACCTCCCACCATCTTTGATTTCCCGTTCATTAAATGTCCACCTGGAACTGAAAATTTGTTCCACATTAAAGTTTTCTGGAGGCTCACACGTCATGGACAGGCTGGCACCAGTGTAGGTGAGCTCTGGAATGCTGATTAAAGTTGAGCCTTTAGATAAAACAGAGCCGAACAGTCAAATTCATGCAAGTTAAACGTGGGTTTACGTGAGTAAACTACTCATCATTTTTCATACTTACTTTGGTAAAATGCAGTAACTGCGCCATTGATAGTAGCAATAGGACTCATTGCTACAGGGAGTTTTTGATTTTCTTCCAATATTTTTTCAAAGTCAACTTGTGTTGTCTGAACAACAAATTTTGTAATAATGCTTCCTTTGCTGTAAGAACAGAGAAGCAAAGTTGTGATGTGAATTTGGTTATAACCCCGGCTTCCTAATTCTTTGGTAATGCCTGAATTCCAAAACTGTACCTGAATCCTGTCACAAAACCTGCGATATATCCTGGGATTCCTTTATACTGCTCACCTAACTGTGGGAGAGACATGGTTAGCGTTAACACATGAACTGGAGATGCAAGTTAAAATTGAGTAGTGTTAACAGTGCACTTACCACTGAATCGATCTGTGATTTCAATGTTTTGTAGGCGTTACTTGATGGATTACTTAATTCTGATGTGTAGTCCTTATCTAATCTCATCGACATTTCCATTTTGAAAGCTGTTTGTGTAAAAAAGTAGATGAAAAACATGAACAAAGTTACAGATTAACATTTAGTTTATTGTAATGCAAAGACAGATAAACACAGGAACCTTTTTAAAATAAATAAAAACAATTTTATTTCTACACCAAGTGACAACTGGCACTTTGTCAATGGAATTTAATAAAACCGCAACAGAATATGCCACATATTTCTCAGTAAAACAATACCTGTAGCTGGCGTGGATTCACTTGAGGGAGTGGTGGAGGAAGGAGAAGCAATCGTAGTAGTGACCATTGTAGAAGTATTGATAGGAATTGTAGTTGGGGTGGGGTAAGTGGTCATGGTATCAGCCGTAGTTGTGGTGGGGGTGGGGGTAGTGGCAGCAGTTGTGGTTGTGGTGGGAGTAGTGGTCGGGGTAGCAGCCGTAATTATGGTGGGTGTAGTGGTAGCAGTAGTGGTCGTGGTTGGGACATAGGTAGTAGCTGTGTTACTAGTATTTGTTATAAGGCTTGTGGGTGAAATGTCTGGTGGTGTTGAGCTAATTGTGGGGTTTTGGCTGGTAGCGTTTGTAGCTGGAAATATATTAAAGAAGACATAATCAAAAACGCCTGAGTACTGACATTTCACAGGAAAACAAAACGTAGTAGTGAGTGTTGTTACCACACATTTCACATTACTTTTCATTTTGACTGTTTTGAATTTCAACAATGACTCATTCTTTTAACATCATTTGTTATTTCTAAGTGTTAATACAATGCTGTTACTATTGTGTTCAGTCCATTTGATGCAGCTGTTGAGTTTGATCATTTTCTAATTATCTGTACGATTATACTTTAAATCTGACTGACATGTTTTATACAGCCATTCAAGAGTTTGCCTCTCCATCCTTTGAAAAATCTACTCCTAACTCCAGTGAATGGTGAAGTTATAGGTGTTGCATTCAAATGTGTTGTAGCAATAGAGCAAAGGTTAAGTAGTCTTGACCAGATCAATAACAAACAAAGAAGAGTCATCTAATTATTCTAACTACTTGTTAACACTTACTTGTCACAGGTGTTGCAGCTGTTGTAGTGTTCATAACTGTTGTAGCAACAGGCGTCGAATCTGAAAAAAGGTAGTTATAGAAACTTTTAGAAATTGGTTTTGTGTAGTTTCAGTGTTAAAAAAAAGATCATTATATTTTAATGACGATGTTGTTCAAACTCAGGTGACTTAATTATATTTTTAATAGTTAGTTGTTGAATACTTACTTGTTACAACTGTTGTTGATGTTATTGTTGTGGTGTTAAAATCTGTTGTAGGAGACGTTTAAGAACAGTGTTGGTAAAAGTAAAATGTGATATATGAGGATACACTACAGACAAACATTCAGGACATTTGCACAATTATTTAAAAGCACTGACTTGTTACANTTGCACAATTATTTAAAAGCACTGACTTGTTACAGTTGGTGTTGCAGCTGTGGTGGTGTTCAGATGTGTTGTAGCAGTAGGTGTGGAATCTGCAAAGATCATTTTACAAACATGTCAATGTAGCYGCTAAATCAAAACCCCTCAAGCCCATCTTACTCATAATGAAGTTCTACTCATTTCTTACTGCTCTATCACAGAGCAATACATTAAACACTAACTGTAATGTATATGATCTGTATCTATATCAAGCTTTTCTGGTCTTGATGACCACTCAGTGCTTTACAGTACAGATTTTGCCATTCACACACACACATTCATACAGTGCATCTATGTGCAGCACTTTCTCTATTAGAAGGGGCAGTTTGGGGTTCAGTATTTTGCACAAGGACACTTTAGCATACAGAATGTGGAAGGCTGGGATTGAACTACCGACCATCTGGTTAGAGGATGACTGCTCTCTGAAGCCACACCTGCCCATTATCAWTATGCAATAATAGAGACCACTGTAACCATTGTTGGTCATCCATACATTCACCAAGCGTCACTTYATTAGGAACACCACACTAATACTGCGTTCAGTCTTTTTTAGTAATACCAATTAGTKGTTGAATATTTACTTGTTATTGTTGTGGTGTTAAAATCTGTTGTAGCAGATGTTGAATCTGGAAACAAAAGCTCACTTCAGTATATCATACTGGAAATGGTAAMGAYAAGTGTCATGTGCAGAAAAATCCTTATAAATGACTGAATGGTTTCAATCAGTGATATCYCTTATATTTGAAAACCCACCACTAACAAAAGTTTTTAGTGTTGGTAAAAGTAAAATGTGATATATGAGGATACACTACAGACAAACATTCAGGACATTTGCACAATTATTTAAAAGCACTGACTTGTTACA